TTTCTGCTGAAAATTTTCTACAACTTTTGGTGAATATTACACAAAAAACTTCAACCATAATTTTTTCTCCCGGATCTAACACCATACACTACAAAAGAAGGAGTATATTACATCACTTAGATAGTATCAAAAAACGAAATGACACTGATTAAAATCATTTATTAACAAAAAATATAAAATTTGTTGTTTAACATCAATTATAATAAATGATATTGTTTTTGATTTGATTAGTATACAAATTTGTATTAATTTGCATCACTTTTAAAAAAATTGATGCAAAAGTATGAATTCACATTAGTTAAATAACTGATGCAACTACTAAATTTTATTAATATCACTTAAATAAAAGATACAAATTTTATATCAAGATAAAACTGATGCCAATAACTTTTAATTAATTAATACTGTTTTAATTACCTTTTCACGAATGTCTCACATCGACAATCAAGAAAAGAGGCAAAGAGAAAACAGTTGTATATATAATCTACACTTATCTTCAATTAAATGGCAAACTAAAATCAAAATTCTATAATTAGAGATTGACTTAGATTTCTTTGAAATTTTTTTAGTTTGGCTTACGTGCCCTTGATAGATTTTTGAACTTTTAAGTGATTTTTAATTAAAATAATTTATAAAATGAATATTGATTTTTACACAATTTTGATACTTTAACAGTTGTATTTATGATTAATGAAATTATAACATCAGTTTAAAAACTGATCCAAATACTTAGCATCAATTGTTATGACTGAAGTAAATATTAACATCATTTATATTAGTTGATGCAAAAATTAACATCGATTATTATAACTGATGAAAATATTTACATCGGTCTTTTTAACATATGTTAAATATTTGCATCACCATTTTTAGAGTCACTCATATAAATGATGTAAATATTTTTTGCATCATTTATAACTGATTTAAACAAATAAAATAAATGATGCTAGACACCTCTTTTTTGTAGTGATAAATTTACACACCACAATTTTTAGAATTTTAATCGAAAAAAAAACTGCGCGTATGCGCGGATATTGGCCTAGTAGTATATGATACAGAAACAAGAGAGAGAAACACCTTATTTTTACATCAGAGGATAAATACTTGTAAAGTTTAAACATCATTTTTTTAATT